TGAGTTAAAAATTAATGATCGAATCATGAGAAGCATTACACAGGGTTTTCGTGGCCAATAGGATGTCAATTCTATATACGAAATAACCTAATGACCCTAATGACTGTGGTCATTTCTAAATGACCACAGTCATTTGGTCACGAGTCATTTTCAAATGACCTGAGATTTGAATGACCGACAATAACCGGTCATTTTGAGGTCATTTGAGGTCATCTAAAAAATAGGCAAATGACCAGGTCATTTACCATCACTGTCCAGCAGTATTACACCTAATGACTCTGCAAGTCAAGTAAATTCATGTGTTGCATCATTATCTCTTGTGTGAAATTTTTTTTTAAAAAAAAATAATGTTCCATATTGCTTAAAGTGTAATGAACAATTTACAAAAAAGTTTTCAACTACTACATTACAAAGACATTTAGAAAGAAAGCATGGTATTAGGCTAGGCAAACTTTATAAATTAAAATTCCAATTTGAACGATCCTATCTGCATAACCAAAGAGATCAAAAAGATCATGATTTTTTTTTATTAATATGGATTGTATATCATCAGCAACCATTTTCAGTAGTAACAAATGAACATTTTAGAAAATTTATACATAAATTAGATTCACGATATAAGGTTCCCAGTCTATCAAAAATTAAGAATATGATTATGTCTGAATTTGACTTACGTCGAATACAAATTAAAAATGATTTAAACCAAATTCAAAGTAAAATAGCTTTTACTCTTGACTTATGGTCAAATATGAATAATGAAGCATTTATGGGAGTAATGATTCATTTTTTAAATATTGAGTAGAAATTTGAACATTTTTTGTTAGATATTATTCTACTTAATAAGTGTTATACAGCACGAAACCTTGTAGATCAATTTATATATCTTCTTGACGAATTCTCTTTTAACAATAAAATTATTGGACTGACCACAGATAACGAATCTGTAATGATCGCTTTAGGTAGAGAATTAGGTGGACATCTAATTCAAGAATTTTATAATAACAGCTTTGCCCACTATCATTGCGCCGCTCACATTATCAACTTAGCCGTAAAGCAAGGATTAGAGTTAGTCAGTGCATCAGTCAGTAAAATGCAAAATTTAATGTTAAAAATTAAAAACTCAATAGTACTATGTGATGAACTTCGATTTTTTATATGTTTTAAAAAATATTACCTATTTAGCCCCAGAAATCGACATCGAAATCAGATGGAACAGTATATTTTATATGCTTACTAAGTTTAAAAAAATCAAAAATGTTTTAAGAATGTTAATTATAAACCATAGCGAGTTAGCTGAAATTTTTCCAAATTTAGAGGATTTAGATCATATTAATGATACACTAATTTTACTTGAACCAATAGAAAAAGCAACAAAACTTCTCTCTGCCTCTTCATATCCTACGATGGGTTTAGTGCGTAGAGTATTTTTGGCAATCCAAAGACACCTTGATATTTATATTGGCAAATCCGAATTTAAAGAATGCGAAATGGCTTCATCAATTTTTTAAAAAATTGAATTATATTGAGAAATAATGGATGATCAGTGTATCATCTCAACTATTCTAGATCCAAGATATAAATTGTCAGATTTTGAAGATGAAAAACAAATTACTGCCATCAGTATAATTAAAAATGTTTTTCATACTTATCTTCAACTTAATCATAGTACTGCTCCTACTCCTACTACTTTTTTAACATCACCTGAAATGCCCCAAAATCTACATGAGTATTTTGCTCGTCTTAACAATTGCAATTATAACCATTTACTTAGTTCATATAACAATGAATTAGATTGCTATTTGATATTAGCTGAAGATCTTGGGATCGAACCATTGATATGGTGGTCTTGTCATGCTAATGAATTTCCTGTATTAAGCTTAATGGCAAAAGATTACTTGGTATTACAAGCCACTAGCGTAAGCTGTGAACAAGCTTTTAGCGTTGCTAGTAATGCTTTTAGCAAAAGAAGAAATCGGCTTAAACCTTCGACAGCACGTGCTAGCTTATGTTTAAAAAATTGACTCGAGAAAGAAATAAGAGTTTAAATTTTTTTTTTTTAGAAATCGCCAAAGGTTTTTTTTTTTTTTTGAATTTAGAAATCGCCAAAGGTGATATATTTTTTTTTTGATTATGTCTCAGAATTTTTTTATCTAAGTTAAAATTAGACTTTAGATTATGGTTAGAATTAAAGTAAAAGTTATAGATTTGAATTTTTTAGGGCGTTAAACTTTTTATTTGTACTTTAAGCATTAAGTATTAATGCCACTTTTGAAAAATAGCATACCTAGTGAATTTCACCTCCGTTAAGTATTAAAATCGTTCTTTTTTTTAACACCTTTTAAAAAAGGACGCCAGAAGGCGTATTTTAGAACTTAAATTTAGAATAGGTTTAAAATAAATAATGCTATAATAGTTTAACGATTAAATATACTTTTTAAGGCTTTACACGGAATCACTTATCTGTTATTAAGACAAGCTCCAAATATTCTTACAATATTAGGTGCACCTATTATTAAATGAGTTCCATTTCAGTATAAAGATTAAATTTTGTTAAAAGAAAAGATTTTTTGCTTTTATCGTTATCGCTATCGCTATTTGGTAAAATTATTACGTCATTAGACCCGCGGGTCATGTAGATCAATTGCCCGTGGGCCAGGCCGGGTCGTCCCATGGCCCATGCGGGCCTGACCCGTGACCGACCCGACCCGGCCTGTGTGAACACTACTTTTATCAAATAGGATATTTCTTTCAAACTCTAATTCTCCAATAACTCAGTGCTTGATGTGACGATAATGACTAATATAGCGATAATGACTATATTGATGTCATATGCAATGACTCATTGATAGGTACTGCGGCGCATTTTTTAGAACCCCAAATTACAATTAATTGCATTTAAATTACAGTATATACTATATATTAACATATGACGTTCTATCAAATAAAAACCCCAAATCCCCAAAACCAATAAAACTATCGTCAAAACATCTCACCATAATCCATCTCCTATTAGAATAATTATTACGTCAAACAAAATCTCTCCACTGTAAAATATTGTTAACTTATTGATATAAAAAGTGATTTTCGTTAACTTAGACTAATAAATTCATCATACACTATAAATACAATAGGGTATCGTTGAAAAGACGTTTTTTTTTATTTAACTCAAAAAAGAAAAAACTTGAAAGAATCACCATGTATGATAAAAGGATTTCTCAACGAAAAAATTATTTGAAACCAATACCTCAAAAAGGAAAAGTTACTAAAATACCTTTAAGACAAAATTGTAAGTATTATAAGCCTCATATCGATATATATTCCTGAATATAATTAGATAATAACTTTATGTCCTTTTTTTTTTTTTTTTTTATTAATTAATAGTTTGTCGTAAAGGTTATAAACGTACGCAACAGGATGTCGTAGAACATCAATCTAAAAATGAGCATACACAAGTTGTTGAACGTCAATCTGAGAATGAGCAACTGGCCTTTGAATATCAATCTGATTGGAGTGAGTTAGATACAGGATCTGATTACGATGATGATATTTATTGGGAATATTATGATTAGACCTTTTTTTTTTGGTGTGGTTGGTTAATTATATTAAATATTAAGTTTTATCTATATACAGTTCTTAAATATATATAAAAAATTTTTTACTATTTGGTAATCCAACATTTTTACAATCACATTAAGTATCTTTTGAACATATGTATATAAAAAAAGCAATATTAGATTTTGTTGTTCTTAGATGTGTTTATACTACAAAATTTCTCAATTCTTTCATTAATTGAATTTGATCAATATAAATTTAGCGTTAATGGTTTATGATTTGTAATTTGTGATCGCCTGTTGTACAGATCTGTAATTATTAATTCAAAAAAAACCTTTAAAATTTTAAGGTTAGCGTTAGACTAGTAGTTTGATATTAAAATAAGGTTTAGTTTATAGAAAAATCTAGCAAGAAAAACTCTCTTAAAAACGCTATGCTAAACTTTGTGTTAAAAATGATTCGCACTTTACACCAGATCATATATTGTATTAATTGGATTCCATTCTGTTCAATAGTTAAAGAAATTGTAATTTTATTGGATAATCAGAGGCTACCAGTTCTATAGTATATATTTTATATATGTAGTTATCTAACGTGTGACAGTCCACCAATCAATTACTCTATTTTAAAGTTTAAATATTTTACGAAGCGATAGGGTAAACTTTGGTTAAATCCGCAATGTAGATCACATGAGGGTAACACAAAAAAAACACTATGCTAACGCGGATTTCACCCTAGCCCTAAAATTTAGCCCTGAAAAAAATATTTTTATCACCGGCCAAAATTTAAACAACGTCGAGTATCAACATTATGAAGTTGTATGATAATCTTGAGTAGTACGTATTCGACGTTACTAGCTTAGTAAATCTATTTTACTCTTTTTTTTATAAAACAATTTAGTAATTATATATAGTTTAATTCCATAATTATAATATATATTTAGAAGTTTTACCTTCCAAGTAAAGTATCTCTAAGTCATGGGTCTTCTGGGATTACAATATCAGATACTTTGCGTAGTGAACGTTTACGCTTTTTTGGTGAGACGGCCTTGATTTTATTTCTATTTGTGAAATGTTACTTCTTAAAAGGCATTAAACTGTTTAAAGTAATTAGCTACTCAGAAGAAAGTTATCCTATAGCCATTAATTATTGTATTGATTTTAACTTTTCAAAATACATCAGACTAGATTATAAGTATAAGGTGATTGATTTTATATGATCTACCCTACAGGTAAAAAAAAACAATAATAATACAGGTGACCCTCGTTAATATCAACTCATTTGAATTGATTTTAAATCATGTTGTTAGTGATATTAATTAGAACTCCTATTAAAGATGATATATACTGTATGAGGGAATTTTGATATAAAAATTTGGTTTTGTGGCTTAGGTTGATATTAACGAGCACCTGAAACTTATTTTTATAATTTTTTAGGATACTGTTTTTTTTTTTAGAATTAGTTATAGTAGATTAGAATAATTTAAGATTAGCTATTAATAAGTACAGGTGGATTTTAGATCTAGTGTTAGCGTTAATCTCTGCGTTAGGGTGTTTTCATCACAAAATCATATAGTAAAAATCAATAATAAGAATCATCATTTTTTAATACGAAGTAAAATTTTAAACTTATAAACTGCTAAATTTATACATGTATAATTATACTTATTAAATTCCTTTTTAGTGTACTCTTTAAAAGAATATAACTCTTTTGACTATTAGAATAAATTAGGGTTTTGCAAATGGTTTTCATTTTAACCTATATGAAAGAAGCTCCATTACTTTAAAAAGCACAACCGTATAACCGCAGAGATGGTGTAATTTCAATTTTCGGCCTAAATTAAGCTTAATTCGGTTCGCGGTTATACGGTAAGTAACATTTAAATTTATATTTAAAAAAAAAATGGTCGGAAAAAATCCTTATTATTGATTTTTACTATGTAGCACCCTAATCAACCGTGACATTTATTAAGTTTAGTTTGGTTATTTAATCCATTACATTTTGATATTATTTTGGTATAGGAAACCACTAATTCAATAACGTTCTTGAGGAAGAAAGAAGTGTCTACTATTAGAACGGAACACAAAAAATCATATGCCTCTGGAAACAACTTACCCAAGAAATCCCAAATGACAATCGAAATTCGAAAGCCACTAGTTCAAAAGGTGCTTCTAGTCATTACATGGAAAGAAAAAAGGACGTCAATTAATTAAATATATCTATAATCAAAAACGAAAACAAGACAATACTGTATCTGGAAAAAAAACCCAGAGAGAAAGAAAAAAAAAACCCCCTGACAAAGAAAAGCGTCACATTAGCGGTAGTCATATGCTAGAACAGAAAAGAAAATACACCCAAAAGTCTCCAACGGCAATCGAAATGTAAAAGCCACTAAGTCGAAGGACATAAAAACAGATATACTTAGTTTGGTGACAAAGAATAAAAATATATTTTCTTTAGCATAAATTATGCAAAAATTATTACCGTATTTTCGCGTAATAACGCGCAGGGGTGTGGTTTCAAAATTTGGCCCAAATTAAGCTTAATTCGGGCCATTATTCGAAATAACGTTATTACGCGAAAAATTCGGTACGCTAAAATATTGATTTTAGTTTTTATAATACAAAAATAATTTAATTAAGTTTTACATCACTAGTCATGTCACGGTTGATTCATTTATCAATTACGATAGAGAATGGAGTTATCGATTTTTATTAAAGGTTTTACTTTTCTAAAAACAATTAGGCACTTTTACTCAAGTATTATTTTGAACGTGAAAAGCTTTCGTTTTTATAATTGTTTTCACTTATTTCACTTATTGTGTACATGTCCAATATGCTATTAAACCTAACTTAACGCTTTTATTAAAGACTCATAAAATTATTCTTTTATTAGAATATTGAAAGATCTGAAGGTCCCAGATTTTCTGTAGCAAATTTTTTAAAAAAAAAACAACCCGAATGGATGCTATGGTGACGAGAAGCATATAATTTCTAAAAATTTTGATAAATTTTTTTTTTAAGTACTTTTTCATATTCTCACATAACCAAATAAGCTTTTCGCAAAGTCTTACCGTGGCCGATTACTTCGCGTTGGTGTTGGAAAAACCACCACCACGTCTCTCTTGATCCATTTCTGGAGAGTTTTCATTTACGAGTAATCTTGAGAAGCGAGAAGTGATATCATCGAAATTGTTGGGAGTGGTGGTAGTATCTACGACTAAACTTGAGAGGCGAGAAGTGATATCAGCGACGTCGGAGGCGATTGTAGTATTAGCGGGTACAGCATTATTGGCACGGTTGCACATTTCTATAGTATAATTTCTTAACATTTCTGATATTCTCATAATTTCCTCTATAGCACGATTAAGTTCGTCGTTTGTTTCTTTTAAAGACATTTTTAAAGCAGACGATCTATTTTTTTTTTTTTGTGGAAAAAGCAGACCTTATATACTACGTATAGCCATGTTCAAAATCACGTTTTATAAAGTGATACAAAAGTTACGTTTTGGATAGATAACATTAGAAATTTTATATTATCATATCAAAAACGGTATTTCAAAAGTTTCCCACGTGTAATTTTCGTGTAACAAACACGATAACAAACTCTTTATGTTAAACTACCATTCCCGTACTGTTGTTATTGATGGGTGGGAAAAAAAAATTCAATTTACGTACAGGTTCTAAAAATTACACAAAGTCACGGTGTAAAAATTTAGCAGTCCATCATTATTACCCAATCCGATTGTAAGATCAATATGTTGCATAAAGCTTTCATTGAGTAAAAGTTTTTAGCACAAATATCCTTAAGAATGAATATTTATGTAATGTCAAGATCAAATCTTATATAAGCATTGTTATGAGAAATCGGCATCGGGTTCTTTTAAGAACCCTATCAGGAACGATACGGTACGTATATTTTTTTCCTACATCTAACGATCCATCAGGAACGTTATTTTTGCGTTAAAATATATTATCTGTTAAACTCACGTGTAAAATTATATTTTAAAAGACGTAAAAAGTATGGCATTTTCGGGATCATTGAAATATATGAAGTTAAGTGATTAAGAATTTTACGATCTCAAAATGTTCAGATTTCTAATTTTATATTATTTTTTTTTTAGCAAGCTCAATAGCAGATAGTGCAATTGATGATTAGGTTAGAAAAACAAAAACCATACCATGTTGATATTGAGAAGGTTGATATTGAGAAGGTTGATATTGAGAAGGTTGATATTGAGAAGGTTGATGCGACTTATCGAGAAAGACCATCAAATTTAATGGTAAATATATTATCCCGTGCAAGCAAAACAGTATACCCTCGTTTATATCAACCCATTTGGGTTGATTTAAATTCATGTTGATGGTGATACATTAAATTCATGTTGATAGTTATATTAACAAGGGATTATATTAAAGTTGATATATATGAGGGAATTTTAATATATAAAAATTTGTAAAAATTCATCTTATGGCTTAGGTTGACATTGATGAGGTTGATATTAACGAGGGTAGACTGTATTTTAACGCCTTTACATAAAATTTTGAATATATTAAACGTAATTAACAGGTATTATCAATGTCGTTTGTTCAGTTGACCAAATCGTTGCCAAGAAAGATTCGGATCTAAAAGATGAACGTAAAGCGCCAAATGGTTTCAAAAATTCGTCATGATTAGAGATGCACTACTGTTATTAGAAAGAATTGATCCTAAAAGGATGTACACAAGACATCCATAAGTTATCAAAAATAAGCCGATCTGGGGAGTTTTGATGAAGAAGCAAATACCCGAAATTGCTATTTTGCATAGAGATGATGTTTTAAAATTTGCTAATATGTGTAATTCTAATATAGTGTTACATCTTAGACATTTATGATGTAAGAGAGCATACGACAATTTAGGTACTGTATAATCAAAATCTGTCAACAATAAGGATGATCATGCAATGCTTGTACTCGAAAGGTATTATCAAGATTCGAAATTTAATAGGACGAGCATAAGGCTTTCATTATTAATAATCCGCAGAGATGAAAATTAGTTCTAAATCTAATTAACCAGTGGTGATCATCACCAGGGTGCTTATTTCTCAAGTAAACGGGATCGGGTACCCTAAGTAAAAATGTTCAGGACCCCTGAAAACCTCACGAGAACTAAAATCGGGACCTTATATCCAATCTGCATTATATTATATTATATAAAACATCCCCACAAAAATTGCGCTCTAACCTTAAATATATCTAGAGGTGGTGATCATTACTGTGAGTTGTTTTAATAACAACTATTTTACAGTCGTCCTTCTTTATAATCACGCTGTTTGTTTTACATAAAAAATGTTATAAAATTTTAATAGTAATGTGATTATATAGAGTTTTTTTAATAAATTATTGCCAATAATTTTTTCAAAAAATGGTGCTTATAAAGAGGGTGTGATGTGACTGTAGAGGAGGACGACTGTATAATATAATTTTTATTTTATTTAAAAGATAATTTACAATTAAAAAGTTAAAGTTTATAGTAAAAATTAGCACAATATTACTAATTGCCTTATATAAAAATTATAAAAAATTTTTATAGTAAAAATTAAAAAATATTTATATCTTGTAATATACTAAACTAATTTTAATAATTTAAGAATTAAAAATTAGTTTTATAAGTTTAATTAAAAATTATTAATATAAATAGTAAAAAGATCTAGCAACTCTAAATATTTTTTTTTAAAAAATAAAAATATAATTGGTTAAAAAAATAACAAAATTTTTTTATCTAGTAATCTAAAAAAAAATTTTTATTATATATAATAAAAAAATTGTTTAAATTAAAATGAATTTTTAAATTAAAAATTTACAGGCTTTAATATTATAAAATATTAATTTTAAATGTTATATTAATATTTTAATATTGCCGATTTAATTATAATATACTATTTAATTTGACAAATTTACTTTTGAATTTTTAATCGATAAATTTACTTTAAATATTTTAAAAGCTAAATTATAAGCAAATCTATAGCTATTACTAGAAATTAAATAATTAAAGAGTGATTTTATTGGCGAAGTAAAATGCAATATGTAAACTAAATATAAACGGATTTAATATTTTTGATACACGTTTTGGACAGTCGAAATTAATTTTGCCTATTTGGATTTACGCCAAGAGCAAAGTAATTTCACCACCCGCATATATTAATAAACATGTCTCTGAGATATAAATGCATTTATAAAAGCTATTTATACGTAAAAGTACTACTCTGAATAGCTGTTCTATTTAATCACTAGTAATAAAAAAAAAAAAAAAAAAAGACCAAACAAAATAATCTAGGCTTTTATACAAAATGTTCCCAGAGTGAAACAAAATAAGTTAGATTTTGCGATTATTGCGATAAATTTGTTTAAATTGTCATTATTAATTTTATTATTATTATTCCTAATAAGCGCGTTTGTCCACGTCAGAAAAGCAATACTGAAACTCTCAGGGCTTTATCTCAAAATGATAAACGAAACAACCTTGCTTTATATCAAATAAATGATACTTTGATCAGAATCTAATTTTTTTATATCTAAAATAGCACTATCAATATCATGAAAATAATCAAACTAAATTCGGTAAAATTTTTCTTTTTTTTTTTTTCTATAGACATAAAACCAATTTCAATCGTATTTGTATTTGGTTAAGTGGTTGTCGTAATATCATTAGTGTTATTTTAGATACGAACTGAAAATCAATTATAGATCACGAGATAGCTTCATACGTATGCATATTTGATCCGCCACTTTACCTCCTTTACTCTTTTTTCACAAGCTGCTGAAAGTTCAATCTATTAGAAACTTTACAAATTATATTTCATGAATTATTTGAATTTGCAAATAAACATAAACAATAAAATCCTAAAGTGTTTAAAGTATTACATACTGTATAATTTTGCTTATTTACGGCACACATGTAGAAAACGTTTACTCCCATCATGAGCTTTATAACTTAACTAAAATTATATATTAGTATACATTATAAAATATATAAGTTTAGTTACCATTTAGTATGTCAACTAGTCAAAACTATAATTATACTGATAATTTGTATCAAAACTGATACATTAAAGGCATCCCATTTTATTTATTTTTTTTAATAATGAATTCCTTCTTATCGCAATATTTCCGATGTGATATCTCTGTTTGTAAAGAAACTATTAATGCAACAAATTAAAATCGGAATATCTTACTACTAATATAATTTTTACTCATTGCTAACATTACATTAACGTTTTGCAGTTTCATTAAATATTAACACACATACTTCCTGCGTTAATTTTTAAAACTTAATTGGTTAGTTAATTAAGTTTTATACCACGACATAGAGAAGCTAATTTCGTATATAAGTATGCACAGCACATCGTATGACCTGTAAATCGAATGAAATCAGACTAGGTGTTTCGTAACACCATATTTGTTATTTTATAACCTGAAAAATTATTGGTTAAGAAAAATAAACATGAAAAAAAGATGACGTATTTATGCATATCGAAGTTCAATTGTGTTGCGTTTCACGCACGGATATAAAAATATATCTAAAATAATAAATATTATTCATTCTTTTGACGTTACGATTATACCTATTTTTTAATAATATGTCAATTAATATATTGCTAACGGAAATATTGACTGAAATTTTTGAAAACATTGAACCTCATGATTTACATTCATGTATTTTCGTTAACAGGAGATGGTGTAAAATTGTAATTCCAATTCTCTGGAGATCACCGTTTCATGATTGTAATCTTCTTAGGAGTAAATGGAAGTCACTAAAACTTCTCGCAAGAACTTGTTTACTTTGTCTTGGTGAGGATAAAAGAGAATTTTTGATGAATGAATCTATGCCATTACCATCAGCTCCACACGGTCAACAACCAATTTTTAATTATCCGTCATTTTTTAGGGTTATAAACCTTGAAATTATTTGCACTATGTCAGACGCGTGGGTTATGAGCAACAAAGGAAAATGTACAAAACCAGAATATTGTAAAAATTTATTAAGAAAGACGTTGATTGAGCATCTATTGGAACGAGCAGAGATGATTCACTTTATTAATCTTGATGAATTTAATATAAAACCAATTATCAACAAAAACAAAAACGCATTAAATTTACGTAGATTAAAAAAGATTAGATTTTCATCTCCAACAGACAGAAACGATAGAAATAATTCACCTACTACTAAAAGTGGTTCAACTTTTTCGGAAAATGTTTCAATATTTTCAACATTAACCAATAATCTTCAACATATTATTGTCGAGAATCACAAACGACATGGTTCGTTTATCGAATATGAAAGTGATACTAAAGCACTGGCCGAACTTTTAAGACATCAAGAATCATTAAAGTATCTCGAACTTTCAGGATATTATATGAACGTAGCAACAATTTTTGAATCATTAAAGGGTAAAACTACCACTTTAACGAAGCTTTCACTAAATAGAGTTGATTTAAACTTTATTAGTCAAAGTGCGATTACTTCATGGATTTCATGTGTTAATTTAAAGTCGATAGAAATTCAAAATTGCAAGATAGTCGAAGAATTTAATTTCAAATCTGGACAACAAATGTTTCCTAATTTAAAAAAATTAGTATTTGTTAATTACGGTACCAAATTTCCCGTAAAATTTATAATTCAAATTATAAAATCCACCAACAAAAATCTCGAATATATTAAATTTGAATTAGAATATTTAACAACAATTAATCAATTAGGTTTGATTAATACTGTTATTAATTATTGTCCAAATTTGTTACATTTTGATGTAGATGAATTGTTAAATTCACAAATAATTCAAATATTAGATTCGTGTAGGAAATTGAAAGAATTGAAATTTGATACAAGTCGCGAATTCGACAATAGGGCATTTATTGAATTGGCTAAGCATATACCACAAACATTAAAATATTTGTATATAAACGTGGATTGTTATCCTTTTCCTGTTGCTTTTAAGATGTTTGTTAATGCTTTGAATAATGTTAATCTTAAGGTCTTTTATATTTCTAATGGTGCGGATGAATTGGGAAGTGAGCGTCGATCAATATTAGATAAATATGGGATTATATCAACTCGAATTCATTCTTATCAACCTTTCTCATAAAATCTTTGTTTTTTAACGTTTTTAATTAGTATATAGTTTGAAATAAAATAACGTTTTATATTCTTGCTTGCTTCTGAATTGGTATATTGTGTAATTTACTCCCATTCTTAGATTTATGTCAATAATGTTATTATTACGCATCGCTCTGGCTATTACGACATTATAGTGAAATCTTTTATACTGACTTTTTTTTTTTTTTTTTTTTAGAATTCTTATATGAAATTTCATTGTAACGACATTTCGACTTTTTTTTTTTAATGTCTCGGGGAAGTGCCTTTATTGCCGAATTATGTGTATTAAAACATTGAATCAATCAGTTTTTACATATGCAGTCTACCCTCGTTAATATCAATCTCGTCAATATCAACCTAAGCTATAAAATGAATTTTTACAAATTTTTATATATTAAAATTCCCTCATATATATCGACTTTAATATAACCCCTTGTTAATATCACTATCAATAATAGGTTGATATAAACGAGGGTAGACTGTATATAACATTATAATACGATCGATTATCTATTTAAATTTTTGATAAATAAAGTAACACGCGACAAAAAGGATAGTGGCTCCAGCTGTACTTGAAAGACCTGCAACTATCTTCATATTAGGTGTGTTGTCGACTGAAGTAGAATTAGTTAAAGATGCCGTGTTTGAAGGTATCGCATTTGAAGGTATCGCATTTGAAGATGTCACGTTTGAAGGTATTATGCTTGAAGGTGTCACGTTTGAATGTGTTGTACTTGAAGGTGTCGTCCTTGAAGGGATTATTGTATTTGAAGGTGTTTTCCTTGAAGGTTTTATTGTCCTTGAAGGTGTTTTCCTTGAAGGTTTTATTGTCCTTGAAGGTATTAATGCCTTTGAAGGTGTTGCACTTGAAAACATTGTGCTTGAAGCATTGTGAGAAGCTGATGTAACCCATAAAAAACTTTTTGTATCAAGTATATAAACGTTGATATTAAGATTATTCTCTTCATCAAATTTTTCTCCTGAAAATTCAGCTCCTGGATCATATAGAAAGAGTATAAGAATGTTGTTTTCTATTACAATATAATAATATTTGATATACAGTATACATAATTACCAAATGTTATTATCATATAATCACCAACTAATGCAGCTGTGTGATAGGCAAGCGGTGGTACGTTTTTATCCATATTTTCTTTACTATGCCATTTATAAATTTCAGGCTTTGTATCTAACACGGCTAATGATGGCTTTGGAACCTCAGAATTATTATTGGAAGTACCGCCATATATAACTATTAATCCATCTGATACTAAAAAAAGTGAATAATATGTATTTATAAGTTTAAGTAAATCAAATGAAATCAAAATTTAATTTTATCTTTAACGTTAAATACATTCACACACTTAATACAGCTGTATGAAATTTACGAGCTTGAATTGTTACATCATCGTTATCTGCAGTCTAAAAAAATAGATATTATATTAATATAATATTATATATTATTGATTGAAACAATAAAGATACCAAAATGTCTTATATACCATAGAAGTCCAAGTTCCAGAATTTGTGTCGAATATGGAAATCTAAGACAATGAAGACAATGATGAAGGTTAAAAAAGTTTAAATAAATCTTGTATATTATATAATATATATTATTTACGTCGTTCATATCAATTTCCTTGCATTTAGAATCACCATTTGTTCCCCCGATATAGACAATAAATGAATTTGGTAAAAGTGTCGCAGTATAACCTGATCGGACAGTCGGTTGAATTATAGATGAAGATGCTATATACTGCCAAGATAATTTTAAAGAATCTAGAACGTACATATCATTATCGAACTTATGAAAATTTGGATTATATCCGCCAAAAATATACATTTTACCATTAAGATCACATGCTGCATTAATATTTTGTTTAACTGGAGGTATTTGATCTGGATTTATTATTGTCGGTATGCTCCATTCTTGATTTATTGTATCAAAAGTATATGTTATTGTATATTTTAATTTATCGTTATCTTTTTTATGATGTCCAAATAAAAAAATTGTTTTATTATTTTGACCTCCAACACATGATGTTTCAAATGCACTATTAATAGGAATAGATGCATTGGTCGTCAAATTAGTCCATAAAAGTTTTTTGGAATCGAAAGGTAAAGAAACATCCAAATAAAATATTTCATCAGAATCTATTCCACCTAGAAAGTAGAGTTGAGTTCCAATAAGAACACTACTATGAAAACAACGACCTAGAGGTACAAAACTTGATGCAGCAATAAACAAATTAATAAAGATTACTATTAACAAGTAAAGGTACTTTTGAAGAGAACTCATGTTTACTCTTGATTAAATAATAACACATTTGTGATCATTTTATAGGATTACGGATTAAATTTACTCCACCTACCACTACGTAAATACATAAGTGCCACTTGTTTATATATTTCATATATTGTAGTTAAGGTTAATGTTAATTAATTTAGGGGGTACCGAGTGACATATATCCATGTGGTATTTAATGTGAGTAACCTAGTCTATTCCGAAATCTACTTATTATGATTATGATCGACTGGAACCATCAGTTTTCAATTTAGCGGGAAAATTCTTTTTTTTTAGTCTCACCGGTGATCAATATTTCTTCTCAATACGCCTAATTCTTTTTTTCTTTTATAGTACCAAAATAAAAATTTCATTTGCTAACTTGATATTGGTCACTTTCATACATTAAAGTAAAAGTCCGAATTGATTTTTATTTAACAGTTTCTGTGCATGATTTTAAAAAAATAAATCGAATTTGGGAATTGTCAATGTTACTTAGTTGTATTTCGTGTCACGTATACTTATCTAAAACTGGAGAACAAGCTAAACTAAATCCGGCACTCTAGGCATAGCAAAAGTGTAACATAGAAATCAAGATTAAGGATGACGATAATAATTAGCTTAATTCGCGATTTACACAAAAATCTCCAGCGTACGTACGTACGTACGTACGTTGCAACTATCGTGAAGATAAAAATAATTTGACACAAATCTACAACAAGCAATCCAACAAATCTCTACCACAAGACCAATATCGAATTGATAATTATCGCGACTCCGAAACTGTAGATGTCTGCGGCTTGAGTGAACGGTTTTCTTGCAAAATTTCTTGAGCAACATAAGGCAATATTCCCAAGATGGTACCCGAATCATCACTATTTTTAGACAATCCAAAATCTGAAGCTATAGAAATTAGAGATGGGAAAATCGTACTCATGGGTATGCGAAAAATATGTAATTAATTCTGGCCAGCATTAAGAAATTAAATCATAATTTTGGCCAAGACATGCATGCTAAAAAATAAAAAAATTATGTTTTACCCATCTTTAGTAGAAGTTATAGCAAAACTAGTAACCCAAAAGCTAAACCACAAAATGATAACTTAGTAAGATTGAAAATACATTTGCACATGATAAAATTTATCACTAGGCGTGAAACGTTAAGATCCGGAGCGTTGCCGGAAGCGTGTCTAGTGTAGCTTTTACCTATGTATGAACTAATTTTTGCGATTCTTATCTCAGACAGAAATTTGTCTGATTGGCTAGTTTTTAGATCGATTTGTAAATCTACACGTGATTATTACCCAATCAAATTGC